CGGACTTTAGATCATATTATAATGAGATCAAGATAAAGAAATATTTTTGATTTTTTGATAAGACATTTGTCTCATAATTATTATTACTGTAAAAAGGTAACCTTCTTTCCCTTTTTCTTTTTTTTTTAATATGTTGTTTTTATTGTTATCTATAGGATTATATTTTGTGGTTTATTTTTCTTATACGAGAAAGTTCTTTCTTTTATTTGGAAAAAAACTCACACATGCTAAGATTTACTATTTTTGGTTAAGAAAAGAACAAAATGTCAAAAGATACATAAAGTGTGTCAAAACTAAAAAGTGGTACAAAATGAGCCCAACAAGACAAGATGTGCAATGTTCGCCAAATAAAATTCAAAATTAAAAGATGCACAATGATTGTCAAAATTGAAAAGAGGCATAAAATGAGCCCACACTACATCTAATTCTTTTCATTTATATCTCTAATTTTTTGAAAAATCTATGCATTTAATAATAAAGCTCAACTATTGAATTTGAATCTATGTAATTTAGTTTTATTTTTACAATAATTATTCTTTTTGAGATTTCTACTCTCTAGAACTAACATTGAATCTGATTAATTGTTATTATCTTATTTATTTTTTGGTTTAAAATATGAGTAAAAAGAGTTTTTGCTTCAGGAATTTAATCTTAGTCTTGCAAATATTTAATTTTTTTTCCTTATCAGCCTTTTAGATCCGTCAATACTAGCTTTAATATTCAAAGATTTTTTTTATTTTCTTTCCATTTTTTTATTAATGTCAAAAGGGGGAGTTATTGTTTGTGTTTGTTTGAAGTCTTCAGGTTGAAGTCTTCTGGTTTGTATTTTTGTATTTTATTTTTAAGTTTATTTTGATTTCCAGTTCTATGTCAAAATGCTCTCAGTGGGAGGTTATTTATGGTTATATTTATTTGAAGTTTTTCATGTGATTCATGTCGTACTTGTTTATTTTAGGTTCTTTTTGGTATTTGTATTTTTTTTTTTTTTTACTTTGTAGTTTGTTTTCTTTTTGTCTATAAAAATCAAAATTAAAAAGAGGGAAGAAATTTATTTATCCTTATGATTTTTAGTTTTCATTCATTTAGGGGGAGTTTAAAAGAAAAAAAATTTAATTTGTTATTCAAATAATAATTATTTTTGTCATCATCAAAAAATTTAGAGATTGTTGAAATCAGTAATCAAGATTAAGATTATGATTTTTTATGATAACAAAATATTATTGTTATGATTTTATTATTTTTCTTCTAACATATATTGAATATTTATGGTTGTTTCTATGATTACTAACATTTCAAGGAAATTATATATTACTCCAAATTATTCAAGAATTCAAAATAAGGTAGAATAAGATTTCTTGTAAAAGAGTCTGTATATCTTTATTTTTATTTCTTGAGTCTGAGCAAGTGTAATTTTAATTGGGTAACCATGCACACACATATAGGGGGACAGTGATAAATTTATAAAAAAGAGTTGGTCATACTGTATGATATATAATTGTATTGTATGATTTGACTTAATTTTTCTTCAGAATCTGGTTACTCAAACCATAGTTTGATGTTCTTAACTGATTGTACTGTACTATATAGTCGTACAGGCGACTAATCGTGTATGAAATTTGGTTCATATCAAATTGTACCATACAAACTTGTTTATTTTTTAACAATTCATATTATATGATGCCAAGTCATAAAGATGATGAAAGTGTACAAAACTTGCTTTGTACCATATCAGACCGAACGATGGATAGTTTTTTTGAATTTTTCATAACGTACGATGTCAAGTTATACAAATAACTTATAGTGTACAAAATTAGGTTCATGCCTGATCATACCATACGAGTTTTTTCATTTTTGAACTATTCATATTGTATGATATAAAGTCATACAAATGACCCACATTATACATAACTAAATTCATCCTAGTTCATACTAAATGAAATAATGATTTTTGAATTGTTCGTACCAGATGATCTACGATCGTACAATACAAACCATGGACAATTCTCTTAAATAATTTAGTTTTCTGACAGTTTTTCATGTGTTTTGTATAAATAGAGTCCTAAAATTGTCATCCTATCCTTTACTTCGAATTTTCTCTTGAGAATGACTATTAGGAGTGTGTTTGAGAGCAATTTTGAGATTGGAGAGTGAGAGATCTAGTAAAATAAAATTATGAGGGTTTCACAACGTTGCCCAAAGTGAGGATCACTTGTTCTTCTTCTAATTTCTTCCCGACTTCTTTAGAGTCTCTTAAGTGAAGATCTTCAATACTGGATCAAGGTTCTTTTGCCTTCACCATGAGGGTGAAAAGGACGTGATGGTTCTCTGCCTTTAACAGGAGGGTGAAAAAGGACGCTTGGTTCTTTGCCTTCATCAGGTGGGTAAAAATGGATGTGTAAGTACTCTTCCTTCACCAGATGGGTGAAAAAGGATGAGAAGGTATGCTACCAACACTTGGAGAGTGTAAAAGAAGATGATTCTCTACTGCACCGGGTTGGTGGAGGAGAGTTTGTAAGGGCTTCTCTGCTTTATTGTAGGGTAAAAGGATAGTCACTATTGATTAGTGTAATACTCCGAGAAGGAGTCTCCAAGGAGTGGATGTATGTCTTGTTAGAGCGAACCACTATAAGTATTCTTCTATTACTTTTATTTTTCCTACAACTATATCTAATGGTCATCCACCTAGCTTTAATTTTCTTAAAATAAAATATTATGGTAGACATGCTCATATGATTATTCTAATAAACATATTTATTAACTAATGCTATCAAGCTAACCAAGCTATGGGATGGAAAGGATCCCCCTAATAAGTGCTACATGTTATTATTCCTACACATATAGATACTCCACCACCATTGAAGCATTCCAAAGACACAGCTATCAAACTCTTCGTAAAAGAGTTCTTTGAGCTCCAAGGAAATTGGAATAGCACTAGGAGCATCAAAAGCATCTATTCAAAGAAAGGGCCCAACCACTAGAACTCAATCTTAAGACACTATAACTAAGCATAGTCGACCCTTCACCAAGAGCAAGTTAAGACCATAAGCTAGGACATTTTAATCATATTTTCTACTTAATTATGAGTGTGAAATTTCATTTGGTATTGTAATTATGTGTGTTAGACTTAGAATTTGTATTTTTGGATTTTATATGTTAATGGGCTAGTAGAAGACATTTAATTGAGTTAATTAAGTGCCTCATGTATGGAGTGAGTGGTTTTCCAAGCCAATAATCTGAGGAGAGTTTACTATCCAGTCAAATATAGGAGGATGGAAATGTTATGGTGGTTGCTAGTGTAGTCCCAATTATAGTGATTACTAGTGTGGGCCACCTCTTCCTCTTTCCATCCTTTTTCCTAATTAAAAATTTATCTTGTATAACTTGTATAAAAATTTAATTGGCTATGAAATGAAGAGAATGATTTGTTTTGTGACTAAATTTTGAAGAAAATTTGTTGATTTGAGCTTGGTGGCTGGCCAAACTAGAAAGGGTGTGATGATCCTCTATTGGATACTACATTGGTGAGCGGTAGAGTTTTATATTTGCTTTAATTTCTCAAAAATTTTCTTTTGTAATTTAGGTTATCCATCATCCCCAACTCTAGAAAAAATATAAACCTAGATTTCCAAGCAATCAAACTCATACATTTACAGATTTTATGAGAATATGCCAAACTATGTTAGAATAGACATAGTTGAATGTTTTTATTTGCTTGACCAACCTAAACTCTTCAAAAAATCAGCAAAAACACTAAATCCATAGTAGAGTCCCTAAGCTTTGATTTTCATAAATTTATTTGGGTTTTTGTACGTAAAAAGCCAAAGCTCTAGAAGCTCTAAATTAAATTTAGCTTGGAGCGAGAGAGAAATTCTCACATCAGCCTTGAAAATAATTTAGGAAACCACCTCACCCAAAATCACCAAATTCTCTAGGTCACAACTAGACTTCTTAATCTTAAATTTATTTTTTTACTTCATGTCAATTGGATTTGCAAAGAGGAAGCTATAAGGGTTAGAATCTAGGGCTCATGATAACGAGTGTTTATAAGAATTGAGTTCGTTGACCGCTAATTTCTTCCAACTCTAATTCCACTCAAATATAAACTCCACCAAACATAGCCTTACTTAGCATCTTAGGAGAGCTCCCCATCCACCAATTAGATCACGCTAGTGATCTAAAGCAAACACAAGAAGATTCACTAATAGGCTTGACCAAAAGGTCAAAATGCTCATTGATTAGGATTATATCCTTTTTGCGGGAGGAATACAATTAGCCACCTATGCAAACACTCTGGGATCTTGTATAAATATAAGGGGATATGCCAAGCTATACTTTTCTTTCTTATATATATATATATCCTAACATGAATCATACAATATATAGAAACAGAAGATGATATGATATAAATCAGCCAAGTTTATTGCAAAAGAGCTATATTTTTATGCTTAAAGATGATAAATAAAGTGCTCAATCATCAGATGTCCTAAGAAATAAATAAGGCATTTATTTAATTTGAAATACACGCAAAAAAAATATGTTCACGCAATTTTGCAAGTTTTTTTTTTTTTAATATTTATTTTTTAATGGTTTTCGTTATTATTAGTTGAAATCCCAATACCAGCTATATTACTTTCAAAGCTCACAAATAATGCCCCAAAGCAATGAAAATTTTTTTGGGAATTTAAATATATGTAAGCTTCTATATTTTAAAAATATTGATAATTTGCTCGACAAAATGCAAATTATGTTTTATAATGAGCCCAAATATGCCAAATGTTTTCAGGGAACATGAACAATACCAAAACTTATATAAATAGGTAAGGATTTTTAAAATGTATTTGTTTTGATTTTTATAATTCATAAATGTATGAATTGTGCATCAAATAATTTAGATTATATAATATGCTTATGAAAAATGCACGACATGATTAATGCAAGTTTATCATGTAAAATGCCACAAATATCAATGTTAAGTACCATTGGTATTAAAAAGAATGTGCTAAGTTGTAAATGATAATTTTAATGGATTAGAGAAACCGGTTTAAGGAATTTACAAACCTTCCAAACACTTAAGTTTCATCTAACTCACTATTTTATTCCCCTTACAAGGGCTTGTGTACAAAAGCAAATCAATCTACGTATTAGCCTCAATTGTTTGCTTGTTTACTCGACCTCTTAATTCTTCGAAAGCTTGCATGCTCTCTGAATCAAATCCTCCGGCAAACTGTAATATTGATAAGAAATTGGTGTTTAATAAGACGAATATTAGTTGCAATTTATGTTGCACTAAATGAACACAATAAAAATAAAAGACAAGTTTTGTTAGCATTCTTGCCTGATGAACTCGGAAGGCAAATCGAACGCCTTGCAAGAGCAAAAATTCCCTGTTTGGTTCTTTCTCAGTACCATTCAAAGCATCAAGCTGTGAAGCTACCCTCTTCATGTACTTCTTTGCAAGTTGAACAGATGCAAGTTTGACCTGCAACAATATGCAAGATGATTTTTACTATAGGGGTTGAATCATAAAGAGTATTTAGTTAGATATGAATGTTTTATTGCAACATTAAGCATATTCGATGATATGGAGCCCAAATTTCTTATTTTTGGCTTTTAATCTCATTATAATGATAAGTTTATCTATATATTCACATGTCTTCATAAGTATTTAATAAGTAATCATAGGTTTGTAAGGAGAGAACTCGCATCTGATGGGCCCCATAGAAGAACTTGCCCATGGAACATTAGGTTCTACACGCTCAGGCCTATGAAGGAGGGTCGTCCCTCTCAAGGCTAATAGAGGACCTCGGCAAACAAGTAACATGCCCTCACCCACGGGATGAATTTTTCATTATGTACATCCAAGATAAGCCACAGGAAAGCGCCTACCCAGAGAGCCCTCAACTCGCCCTACCATAGCTAACAACAGAGCCAATCTTCTCAACTACCTCACCTCACTTTCTCTCTTAAGGGGACACAAGGCTCAACATAGGTTGCCTACAGTTCCAAGTTGATGCCCAGGTGTCGAGCTCGCCCTACCCGATAAATGCTCACAGTTTAACCCATTCTTATATGGCATCATAGAATTCGCCCATATTGTTTAGCTCAACCAAAGATAGAATGTCAAAGCTCTATAGCACGCTACTCTCCCTCAACCAACTAGGAGGCAACACGTGTCTTAGGTATTTTGTATAGCATTGTGCTTTGTACTATTTTTTATGTATTGTTTCTTGTAGCCCTCAAAACCTTATAATTAAAAGGCAATGAGAAGTAGTTTGGAGACTTTGTTTTACTAATTCGAGTAGATACCATGCTAGTTTGAGATTAATAGCTTTCTACAGATTCTCAGCGTTCTTTATTCTCTTCATTCCCTCACAAGTTTCAGGTCACTCTCTCATTGAATCAGTCTTCTAGTTAGGTCGGGCATCATCCACAAACAAAGTTGTTTCCAACATATTCATTGAGCATTGATTGAGTCTTACTTTGGGAACAAAGAAATTTTAAGAGATTTATAGTTAAATGAGGGGTTTTTTTTTTTCTTTTTTTGACTTTTTAAGTCAATATGAAAGCTTCCTATGTTTTGTTATTTCTCCAATAAATATCTACCTTGAATACCTCTTATATGTCTCCCATGCTAAGCACCTATATCAATCCAGAGCAAGCATGGAATTCATGTATTGTAGAAATGAAGAACTATAGTGGCCAAACACTATATTAATCAATTAATGTAGTTGATTAGCACTATAGTTACTCCTATGTATTGTAAATAGAGAAAAAAAGGAGATTAAAGGTAACCCAAAAGTCCAGGAAGAAACCCCCATAGGTGGACAATGATGCGCTCCATTATTTGGTTTTGTACGCAGTGTCGCAAGATGGATAGCCCACTATTAGAACACTGGGACACTAATTGGCCATTGGACATCATAGTTACCACCCCCACCTACTGTTTCTTCTTTTGGAGTGATGTTTAGATTGAATTGTTGACGCTTGCTACAACCAGATAAGAGACCACTCATTGGCAACTGTGGAGCTAGTTTTTCTATTAGTTCCTTCTTTTTAATTGCATTTGTTATTATAAAAATATATTTATCAATGCTCTTCCTATTCTCTTTTTTATTTTGTTAAGGGAGTCTCCATACATGATTGTAACCTATTGTACATTGTTTTGATTTTTATATTTAGTAATGCAAATTTACTTTTCAAGGATATCATAAATAAAGAGGATATGTAATTTTGGCTATTACTACATGAGTAGATTTCAAGTAAGTTGCAGGGAGTTTCGATGCAACCTTCTTCTCGTGGTATGATGAGTGAGGAGAGGGTGGTTTTCTTCAACACAAGATGAAAAAGAAGTCAATTGCTATCATGAGGATAGAATTTGACTCCTTAAATTCATAGAGGAATCCATCCTCTATTGGTATCTCCAATCATCATTATTGCAAAAAATGTTTTCAACCTTGAATAGTCATGAATTGAATAGCTAGTTGTGACTTTAATCTCCAAATTATGTGATAATAAACTCTATATGTATACCGCTTGATGCTTAGAAGAATTTTTTTATAATTGTGCAGATACCATGATAGGCTTGTGTGACCCTAAATCACATAAATGTTGGTTTCTTTTAATGGTTTTAATCCCTTGAGCACTTCGCAATTCCTCATATTGATTCACTCCTAAGGTTGACGCTTCCACAAATAAAATTAAACGCACACTTTTTCTCTAATAATTGGTATCAAAGCAAAGGTCTTTAAGTAGGATGGATGCAAAGCTAGAGAATGAAAAATCTGATGACTCAAAAGGATTTAGGTTGTGGAGAACCAAGATGTATGAAGTTTTTTTCTAGGAAAATTTTGTAAAAGCACTCATGGGGAGCTCAAAGATATAGTGAGTAAAGAAAGAAATATAAAAATGTCTGAAAAGGCCTTCTCAAAATTTCAGTCATGTATGGTTGATAGGATATTGACAAAGGTCTTGAGAAAACAATTGTCTAAAGTGGATGGCTAAAATTAAAATTTTTGTACATAAACAAAATCTTATCCATTAAATTGTAGCAAAAGCGATAATTATATTTGTTCCATATAAATAAAGGTGCATTCATTAAATCATATCTAAAAGAGTTCAATTATTTAACTAAAAAATTGAGGAATATTAATATGATTGTTTATGATGATGATCAAGCATTATTAAACTTGTGTTTTTCACCTTTTTTATACAAGCACTTATGATACATCATGGAGAACGGACATGGTATAATAAAAGCTTTAAGGATTTCAAAAATTCGCTTATTTCAAAGGATATGGTTACTTTGCATGCACAACAAAATTAATAAATCAATTGAAGGTTTATTGCAACCCAAAGGGAGATCCTATAAGCAAGCATCTCTTCTAATCATAATAAAAATTATCTCTTGGTAATTTCCAAAAGATCACATACTTCTACAATAAGAAGAAAGAATATATAAAGAGTAATGGCTTAGCCTTGAAGAAAAGATAGCAAGAACATATGAAAACCATAAAGATAAGTTAGCAAAACAAGTGTAATGGCAAATTAGTCTAATAATGATGATGATCTTATGGTGAACGATGGAGAGATGCAAATACGAGCGGATTTAGAGTCAGCTTATTCAAGTCACATGTATTTAAGTATGATTCAAGTTCAGGTGGCTTCATATACATGAAAAAAAAGCTGTCTAATACTAGATGTTTTGGTGCTGTGGAATTGACAATACATGATAGTGTGATTGCTTTGTTGACTGGAATTAGGCATACAGCACATTTGAGAAAAAAGTCTAATATAATTAAATGATCTTAGCATTGTAGGATAAATTTTAGGAAACTCCCAAACGAAGCTTTATTTTAGGAAAAAAGAAATTTTGAGAGCTTTTATATGAAATTTAAAGATTTTTTTTTCTTGACATGCAAGTTGGGCTGAGATTTTCCTAAAATATGTATTTTTTTCTCCCATGTATAAATATCTAGCATGGCCACGCGTTCTGTTCGTTTGTCCCATGCCAATAGCTACTTAAGAATAAAAGTCTGAAGTTTGAGTATTACGGCAACCAGTCGCTGTAGTAGCTGGGCATATTGTAACACACTAACATCCAAGTATTTTAGTTAACAAGCACTATAGCGAAGCCCAAGTAACATAGCAGGAATTTTAGAAAACTGAGGGCAAGGGAGCTTAGCTATTGCTATTGGAATATATTTCGACAACCTTATAGGAAGGTGATTTGGTAGCCTTCTTCTAGCTAACAGTTGCTGTCACCTGGAAAGATTTTGTCTTCTAAAACTCAAAGAATAATTTGTCTATTGATCGTTTCTCCAATCTTCATTATTGTAGCTAGGGTCTTCAACCGTGAATTGTCATTAATTGGACGGATGTTGTTAACTTCAATTATCTAGGGATTGTCTGAAGATAAACTATCGATGTACCTCTTCTAATGCTTAGTAAAATATTTTGATTTTTATACGGTCACAAAAGTAAACTTAAAATCACTTTATGGTTCATCCTATTCGCTTTTAATGTCGAAGCTTCCACAATTAAAATTAGGCATGCTTTCTTTTCCTAACAAAATATTAGTGAATTTTAGGTGATATTAAATTCATACCTTTCCAACAACACCAGAGTCAGACAACCAATCAGTTGGAATTCCAAATTCCCTGTAACGTGATATAGCCATATCACGAGTACGTAGAAGTGCATAGACACTTTGCTCCACTCTGAAAGGAACGCAAAATTGGATGAGGCCATCTGAGAAGGAACAAATAATCATTCAACGGATAGAAGGAACTTACTTTTCAAGCAGAGAATACATTTTCTTAAGAGCAGCTTCACAAGGAACTTTAGGATCATCAACAAAAGATGACACCTGCATCTCCAGCTTCATCAGGTCTTGGTACTCGAAAGCTGCCTCTCTTAAAGCATCGGCTTTTCCCTCAGGCCAATCGAAGTGTTTAAGTACTGCTCTTTCATCAACCTATCAAAGATAAACATAGTTCAGTCAGCTAGAAACCAGCTAAGTGTATACAAATCATTACAAAGCTGAGTATTAGTGTGCAAATTTAAGTTCTTATCAATAAAAATACAACAACTGAAGTAATAAAAACGAGTACCAAAAATGAGAGCTCTTCATCCAGCCAGTTCACAAAGGCAACGAGATCTTGGATATTTGTGAAGGAAGCTGCCCGAACCTCGGCGGCTAATGACTGGACAAAATCACCTTGGGTCTCCACATCAGCTTTGACCTGAATCCAGTTTCAACTATTCTGATATTTTCCAAATTGGTCAACAAAAACATATTGAGAAGGCTGTTACATTTTATGAAGTACTTCTTACAGCTAAAAGGAATGTCGATCTGTTGGCGATCTCTCCAATCATGTTACTTCTCGCATCTAGTGTACTGGAGGTTGTGGAAGGAACCGATGTGATCTCCTTCTTGGCTTCGCGCTTCATCAAAGACTGGTAGAACTCCACCAGCTCAGGGGCCCTATGAACTTTATCTCCACCAATTGTACCTTTAGATAGGCTTCCTGGAGGGGGAGGAGGCCTCGGTGGTCCACCTAGTGGCAGTGGTGGTGGCGGAGGTGCACCAGGTGGTAAAGGTGGAAGTGGCGGTGGTGGGGGTGGAGCAGCAACAGATGTGTTGACAGTTTTGTTATCAATACTAGAAGTAGTGCCCGTTGATGATGGCGGTGGCCTAGGAATTCTTGGCGGCCTCTTCTCAATCTCTGCCAGTTTCATCTTGCTAACAACTGGACTAGCAATCTTGCTTTCATCAGTCTCACCAGATTCACTTGCTCCAACCGCTCCACCAACTTTCTCCTTTATCTGAGCTAGCTTAGGTGGCAATTTAACAGGTTTCTCCTTGTTTCCCATATTTCTGAATTCATAATTTGAACTAAAACTAGCTGAACCTCCACCAAATCGCTCTGCTCGTGCTTGATCAACTTTCTCCTTGATAGTTTTCTCCCGCTCCATTGCTAGCTTGTGGCGATCCTTAAAAGCAGGGTATTTCTCATCAACCTCACCTTCAACTGTCTTTGACATTAGCTGAAACGAAGCAGCAACACTATTTAATGAGTCATTTGAATCAGCACGTGTAATAATTGGTGGCAGGCTATGCTGCTTCAAGAGTTCAGTTGGGTCTTCATCATTTTTCCCATATGTAGTAATGGCGTGGCCATTTCCAGCATTTCTTAGCATAAGAACTTCCAATGGGCCCCTGGGAGCAGGTGATCTGTAGGTCGTACTGGTCCGCATTGGCGAAGCGGCCCCTAGAGACCGAGTTGGCGAGGCCAAAACATTGTCATCCTTGCTCTTGCCCCATCTCTTCATCTTTTGCATAAGGCTTGCCTTTTTACTTATAGAACTGAATCTGCTTGAAGAGCTATCTATAGAAACGTTGTCAAAGTCTTCACTTCCAGGAGATGAAGGCATTGACGATATACTTTCCAGATCCGTATCTCCCTGACCCCGTTCAGATCCTGCATACTCTAGCATCAGCCTCTTAGCCCTCTCCTGGGACTTCGGACTCAAGCTCTTGCTGAGATCACGAGCCGATGTCTTGCCAGCTGGTTTTTGATAATTCCTTAGTTCATATCTCAAGCAGGCATTGACCCAACGGAGGTAAACCAATTCCTCTACTTCACTGAATCTGTTAATTTGTAGACCTTCCACTTGCTTGATAAGGTCTTCATTGGCATGCCGCAAACTATTGGCCACTTCCCTTTCCTTCGCAACTATCTCACTCTGCAAGAAGGGAGCGAGAAAAATAACCAATTCAACTGATAAGAGCAATCAAATTAAGAGCTTTGTGGACGAAATTCTTAGGCAATTTGTACACTTCAAGTTCCAAAAGGCAAAATAAAGCAACAATTACTATCATAGGACGGCAAAAAATTGTGCATGTGTTACCGTGATCATAAAGTTGCTGTGCAGAAGGGGGTGGGGGATATTTTGAGTGAAATTATTCGCAAATCCAAGCACAAACTCACAAATATAAACTTCAAATCAGTGATTTATGTTAATAAATTCAAAATATTTAATCATATTATTTGTATGGATGTATCTTTTCATTTTTAAATGTAGTTAATTGTAAGTGAAAGGGTGTGTGAAGCAATGTTTCATTTGAAAGTGAAAGGGTGTATGTGAAGTGATGTCTAATTTAGATAAAAAAGTTGTAATGTGTGCATGAGACAATTAATAGAAGAAAAAGTTTGTGTGTTTTTACTTCTTCCATTTTTCTCTTCTTCTTCTTCTTCCAATTTTCTTTTTTCGTTTCTTTCACAATTTGGTATCAGAGCATCATGGCAAATTCTGGAAGTTTTCCGATGGGACAAATACCACTTCCACGACTCACGAAGACAAATTATGATAATTGGAGTATTCAGATGCGGGCATTGTTGGACGCACAAGATGCATGGGAAGTCATTGAGAACGGCTTCGTTGAAGTGATGGATACAGAGGGCATGACGGCGAACCAATTAAAGGCGTTGAAAGAGACGCGAGCGAAGGATAAAACGGCTCTCTACTTGCTATATCAAGCAATAGATGAGTCGGGCTTTGAGAAGATTGCAAGAGCGACAACTTCAAAAGAAGCGTGGAACACTTTAGAGAAAGTGTTCAAAGGTGCTGATCGTGTCAAGAAAGTACGCCTCCAAACTTTGAGAGGTGAATTGGAAGGGATGAATATGAAAGAGTCAGAAGGTGTATCTGATTACATCACTCGTGTGCAAGACGTAGTAAATCAACTCAAGCGAAATGGTGAGATGTTAACCGATGCCCGAGTAGCGGAGAAGATATTGCAGTCATTAACCAATAATTTTGAGAATGTTGTATGCGCGATTGAAGAATCAAAGGATCTCGGCACACTAACTGTTGAAGAGCTTGCTGGCTCTCTTGAGGCACATGAGCAACGAAAGAAGAAAAAGAAGGAGGAGACGCTCGAAGAAGTTCTTCAATCAAAGGCAACAATTAAAGATGATAAGGTACTATATTCTCAAAATTTTCGTGGAAGAGGACGAGGAAGAAGAGGTCGTGGAAATGAACGTGGTGGAAGAGGTCGTGGTTATGGAAGACAATTTGAAGAGAAGGAACAGGCAAATCAACAAAATTGGCGAGGTCGAGGACGAGGACGTGGAAGAGGCGGTCGGCAAAATCATTCAAATGTTGAATGTTACAAATGTGGCAAGTATGGTCACTATGCAAAGGACTGCAACTCTGAAAAATGTTACAATTGTGGCAAATTTGGGCATTATGCAAGAGATTGTTATGGTGAAAAGAAAATTGAGGAGAATACAAATCTTGTAACAGAAGAAGAGGTGAAAGATGGGCTTCTCATGATAGCTCATGATGAAAAGAACAGTAGTGACGAGACGACTTGGTATCTCGACACTGGTGCTAGTAACCACATGTGCGGGCATAGACATTTGTTCAAAGAAATGCGGGTCATTGAGGATGGACATTTTTCATTTGGTGATGCATCAAAGATTCAAGTAAAAGGTCAAGGTACAATTTCTTACATGCAAAAAGATGGCGCAAAAGGCCTAATTGAAAATGTGTATTTTGTACCTGATCTTAAAAGCAACATACTTAGTATGGGGCAACTCATGGAGAAAGGATCTTAAGTGTTCATGAAAGATCGAGTTCTACAATTGAAAGATAATAAGGGGCGGTTAGTTACACAAATTAATATGGCGAAGAATAGAATGTACAAGATCAACCTGGTTTATGTACGAGAAAAATGCTTGCAAGTTGATGTAGAAGACAAGGCGTCTCTATGGCATTTGCGATTTGGTCATTTGCACTATGGAGGCCTACAAAAATTGTTGAAGAAGAAAATGGTGTATGGACTACCAGAAATAGAATACACCAACAAGCTTTGTGAAGATTGTATATTTGGGAAACATGCAAGAAATTCATTTCAGAAAAAGGCAGAATATCGAGCATCAAGTATTCTTGAATTGGTACACACTGACATTTGTGGGCCAATCACTCCTGAATATTTCAGTGGTAAAAGGTATTTTATTACTTTTATCGATGATTATTCCAGAAAAACTTGAGTTTTTTTTTTGAAGGAAAAATCCGAGACTTTCAATGTGCTTAAGAAATTCAAAGTCATGGTGGAGAAGACAACCGGGAAGTTTATTAGAGCATTGCTATCTGATAGAGGTGGTGAATACAACTCTGCGGAGTTTACAAGTTTCTGTGAGCAACAAGGAGTAAGAAGGTTTCTAACCACACCATATTCACCCCAACAAAATGGTGTGGCCGAGAGAAAGAATCGGACCATTCTTGATATGGTTCGGTCAATGTTGAAGAGTAAAGAAATGCCTAAAGAATTCTGGGCGGAAGCAGTGCAATGTTCAATTTACATACAAAATAGATGTCCACATATGAAGTTAGAAGATAAAACTCCGCAAGAGGCATGGAGTGGTAAAAAACCGACGGTCTCGCATCTTAAAATATTTGGCCTATGCACATGTGCCGGATCAACAAAGAACAAAGCTAGAAGATAAAAGCAAGAAGTATGTGTTTATTGGGTATGATGAGCAAACTAAGGGTTACAAACTACTTGACCCAATAAATAAGAAGGTGGTGCTAAGTCGAGATGTTCGAGTGAATGAAGCAAGCAAATGGGATTGGAACAATTCATCGGAAGAACAAATTGAGGGTGGAGAATCACCAACTATTTCACTAACAAATTTTCCTACATGTTCTCAGGTACCTAGAAATACTCAAACATCTGATGACGAGCAAGAACCAAGACAATCAAAAATGCGAAGCCTACAAGAGTTGTATGATTCTACAAGCGAAGCACATCTTATTTGTCTTCTTGCTAATGGTGAAAATATAAGTTTTGAAGAAGCGGTGAAGAATGAAAAGTGGAAAGGAGCTATGGATGAAGAGATCAAGTCCATTGAACGAAACAAGACATGGAAACTTGCAGAATAACCGAAAGGAAGTCGACCTATTGGAGTAAAGTGGGTGTTTAAGAAAAAGATGAATGCCCAAGGTGAAATAGAACGATACAAGGCCCGACTTGTGGCAAAGGGCTATATACAAAAGGCAGGAATAGACTACGATGAGGTCTTTGCCCCGGTTACAAGAATGGAGACAATTCGACTTCTTATCTCTTATGCGGCACAATTTGAATGGCCAATATATCAAATGGATGTGAAGTCGGCATTTTTGAATGGAGTGATAGAAGAGGAGATTTATATTGAACAACCACCTAGTTACAAGAAGATTGGAGAAGAACAAAAAGTATTGAAGTTAAGAAAGGCACTTTATGGGTTAAAGCAAGCACCTCGAGCTTGGAATACTCGTATCGACATTTATTTCAAGAAAAATGGGTTCACTCAATGCCCATATGAGCATGCACTGTATGTGAAGAAGAAAGGAGGTAACTTGTTATTTGTGGCACTTTATGTTGATGATCTTCTTTTCATGGGGAATAATGGCAAGATGATTAAAAATTTTAAAGGTGAAATGGAACAAGAATTTGAAATGACATATTTGGGCTTAATGAAATATTTTCTTGGTCTAGAAGTTAGACAAGGAAAATCAGGAATTTTTGTGTCACAAGAAGCATACTCAAAAGACAACTTAAAGAAGAACAAGATGGAAAATTGTAATCCAGTAACAACGCCAATGGAATTAGGTGCCAAACTCTCAAGGTTTGATGGTGGAGATCGAGTCAACGCAACAAAATATCGAAGTTTGGTGGGAAGTTTGCGTTATCTCACAAGCACTCAGCCAGATATTTCTTATAGTGTTGGAGTGGTAAGTCGGTTCATGGAAGAGCCAACCTACACGCATTGGAAGGCATTGAAGAGAATTCTTCGATATGTCCGAGGAACAGAATCACTCGGATTATTTTACTCGAAGTCGGATGAATATAAATTGGTGGCTTACTCCGACAGTGATTGGTGCGGAGACATAGATGATCGAAAGAGTACATCGGGGTACGTATTTTTTTTGGGAGATACGGCATTCACATGGCTATCAAAGAAACAACCGATAGTGACACTTTCGACATGTGAGGCAGAATATGTGGCGGTAGCATTGTGTGTGTGTCATGCAGTTTGGCTAAGGAATTTACTGTATGAAATGAATCTCCAACAAACAGAAGCTACCGAGATTCGTGTTGATAACAAATCTGCAATTGAGTTAGCAAAGAATCCGGTACATCATGAAAGAAGCAAGCATATCGATGTCAAATTTCATTTCATCCGTGAACATGTGAAGGAAGGAAGTACGAGAATGATTCATGTTGCAAGTCATGATCAAGTAGCAGATATATTTACAAAGCCATTACCCACAACATTGTTCGAGAAATGCAAAATGGCGATCGGCATGAAGGATGGAAGAGATTTTGAGTTTAAAGGAGGAATTTGTTAATAAATTCAAAATATTTAATCATATTATTTGTATGGATGTGTCTTTTCATTTGTGTGGATGTGGTTTATTTTCTTAATTAAATGTAGTTAATTGTAAGTGAAAGGGTGTGTGAAACAATGTTTCATTTGAAAGTGAAAGGGTGTATGTGAAGTGATGTCTAATTTAGATAAAAGAGTTGTAATGTGTGCATGAGACAATTAATAGAAGAAAAAATTTATGTGTTTTTACTTCTTCCATTTTTCTCTTCTTCTTCTTCTTCCAATTTTCTTTTTTGTTTCTTTCACAATTTCCACGGTTAGAGCTGAAGTACCAAAAGACATGTAAAGTCGCACGACTCCGTAAAAAAAAACTGTCATATCAAACTTTGAAAAGAAAAGCAAGAAGACTCAGATTATGAGAAATAAGAATGTAAAACTAAAAGTGTGACGAGGAAGCTGGACAAAAAATGGACTATATTAATGATAATGTATCAGTAGGATCTATCAATAAAAGTGGGGAAAATGTTGTGATATGGACATGTACATCAGAGAGCAAAAGATTAACTAATATGAAAGAATTGAATAAACTTAGGAAAACATGTAAGAAATCTTCACAAAGACAATAATTTAAAACAATCATACACTAAAAAATAATGAAGGCGAATTAAAAATTTTGACTTGATATTTCTTGATATTAGTCTGATAATGCTGATAATGATGATAACAATCTTTACAACATCGCCTAAAAAAGCAATAACAGAAATAGCAAAGAAGTAATTCTATCAACATGCAAATTGAAGCATAAGAATTTTAGTATGTATAGGACTGGAATAGAGAAAAAGAACAATAAATGGTGATTTTCTAAACCAACATAAAGAGAGAGTCATTTCATGTCTACCCATCATTTAGAGCTTTCACAAATTATTCTTATTCCCAAGCCTTATGCAGCAAATATTTCACACTTGTAATTTCCATTCTAATCAGGAAATCATACTAAAAAAACGGCAAATCATACTAAAAAAACGGCACAAGAACTCGAATAAACAAATACCTCTGTAACATTCGATATTGTTGCTGCTCTAGCTTCAGCAGCGTCCAACTTCACAATAAGCTCCCTCTTCTCAAGCTGAAGCTCTTTGTTCTTCCTCCTCAGCTCCACTACTTCGACCTCTAGCTCTTTAAGAGCTTTGAGGTTCTTCTCCACTTCAGCATCTTTTTTTGAGGCCTCCTCCTCCTTTGATTGGAGACTGGTAACCTGCTGCTTTAGCAACAGCAGTTGCCCTTTAGTTTGGTTAGCATCAATCTGGATTTGCCTTTGCAATTCCCTAAGCTTGTTCCTAGCAACCTCAAGTTCCTTCTTGGCTGTATTTCCCTGTGCAATCTCCTCCTGATGCTTCTTCCTCTCAGCCTGTAAAGAGTTAATAGTGACGTTGAGCATCTCGATCTCTATATTCTTAATTTTCAACTGCTTTTGCAATTCCGTAATGTCTGATTCCTGCTCTTTTAAACCATAGTACTCCAATAACTCGCCTTCCAGTTTCACTTCACGCTCTTCCAATTCCATCACCAAGTTTCGCAGTCTCTCCAGTTCAGAAGCGTTGTTTGCCATCTCAATATCGTACTCTAAAGTAGGCATGATATCATACTTGTCAGTGGATGCTGGAACCGCTAACTCGCCACAAAAAAGGCTCTCAAACTCGGGCAGCATATCCTCATCATCTTCGAAGTCCGCAGGAATTAAGTTGCTCTGAGGTGCATTTATTACACTGCTAATCGTCTTAACTTGCTCTTCTTCTTTTTCCTCTTCCTGTAAAATTGAGAGAATATATAATCAGCGATGACATATAGTCAATCATTACAAAACTAATTTTGTTTAGCTTGTGTAAACCTTTTGTTGACAAAAGCTAGCATCTCCTTCCCATTCTGTCTGTAACTTCTCAAGCAATTCCTGCTCAGGCTTTGCCTTGCCATTCTCTGTTGTCAAATTTACGATTATAAATCAGAGAAATATAAACTTCAACATAGGTTGGAGCTAATTCAACATGAAAGCTTCACAATTGTACTTGATTGCTACCTGAAGGCTTTAGCTGAGATGGCTTTGGACAATTAGTCTGCTTTACTGCATATGCAGCAACAGAGGCAGCAACGATGAAGCCTAATCTAAAAAGCATGAAGAGATACAGGAAAAAACTCACTACTTCCTTCACACATCACCTCTCTAGCCCTCGGCCAACTTCAACAGTTCCAAGAATCAAACATTCAGACATGAGCATCAAAAATGTTGAATGGAACTGAGCGAAGAAGGCAAGGAGAAGGATGACACTTTACAATCCATTCCCATATATGTCTAACACACGAAATATGTTTCCATTATCTTGTATTTCTAATGGATAGAAGAACGGAGCACCTCTTATTAAAACAAGAGAACACCACCAGAATATGTGGCTAGCCTGATCCATCCTTTCTTAAAATACTAAAATTCTTTCGTCATTTTTGTGAACCCAGAAGTTCTCCACTCCACGAGAATTTCCTGTCAGATAAGATCATCCTAAGAAGCTGACAAACCATCAATATCAATGGAAAGAGAAAAACAAAAATACCAAAACAATAGATGAAAGATGAGCCCGAAAGCCACTCAGCTAACTGGCTTTCTAAACTACCAGGTAAGATACAATCTGTCCTTTTATTCTCATCCCTTGCCTGTTGTTTGGAGGGAAACTAAAGGGCAGTAATTTCCAAGTGGCTTTCATTCCATCGAGCAAAAGAACAGGCAGCCGAAGATCCTTAATTTCCTTGTTTACTGTAACGGGCCAACGGCTCTATTATATTGCGCCTAATGCTTTTAACCAAACCACTGAAACCAGTCCCTGATGGGCGTCAATTTTTATTTTGGTAGTACATAGAAAATTGTAATAATTGGAGTAAGACAAAGTCTGCACATGGGAGGCCTGTGACCCATGGAAAATTGGAACCATCAGTTAGGCGTGGGCCCACAGGGGATAAAGGTATGGAGCTACATCCATGTCTCTCTCATGGACCCACAAGCAGCCAATTGGATTGCTATTTTGGAACAACTTGAGCTGTGCATTGGATTCAATACCACTCAAATCTGCGAGCATTTCACTGAAAGTTATTCTGGCTTCCAGTGAAGAACAGCAATAATTAGATACCATGTTTCTAACAAGGGGTATCGAGGGGTTTGTGGGGTTAACATAACTTTTATATCGTCCTATGTGACATAAAACAATAAATTAATATTTGATATAAAAAATGAAATAAAAATTAGAGAGAATTAATTGAGAGTATTTCATTCTAACATATATAGAATTTATACATTTCTAAGATATCATATAATAGGAAAAATATGAAATCAAAGAATAAATTAATTAAAATAATTAATTGATTGATAAGTAGGCAATAGGAATCCCTCAAATGAATGAGATGACAATACAAGAGAAAAAGAAGAAAGCAAAAATCTTGGTAAGCATGCGTCCTAACTAGCCAATATTTCACTCTCCCTTAAGCAAATGAATCATTCATTGCTAATTTGTTTGATAATTTTTAAAATAATATAGTTAATAATACTTCATGATTCACTTGTGATTACGAATGAATTAGACCAATGACTTGCAACTCCTTTATAAAGTATATATCAACTTCAATATGCTTTGTACAATACTATTAAATTGGCAATAGAACCTCATTTAAAATTTTCATTTAACATTTAAATCTTTCAAGATAATTTTTGGCCATAGCAATTCATAGATTCTCAATGTCATAGATCTAATACCTTGAAGTTGATCTTCTGTCAACTACACAACCCATATAAGCTTCATTTGTGCATGCTTCAAGACTCATATCCTCGCTATTTTTTAATCAAATTCCTTTGCTCAGAGTTCCCCTCAAATATATATATATATATAATATGTAGATGAGTTGAGTTGAGTTCTAGCCGCCCCTAATTTTAGCTCGAGATTGAGCTTAATTGAATAACTGATTTTGAGCTCAAACTTAAGCTTAATTTTTTAGAGTTAAAGTTGGCTCAAGTGTGAGCTCGTTTGATAAAAAAGAGAGAATATTACTGCAATCCAAGTAGCTCATGTAATAAAATGATACAAATAATGAGAAATTAGATAAGAACTATTATAAATCATTTGAGAAAAAAAAATAAATATAAAAGTTTTAAATTATTTTAAAATAACTTTATACTTAAAACATTGAAATCTAATATATTTTAAGTATATTTATAATAATATTTTAAAATTGTGTCAACTCAAGTTGATTTAGTATTGACTCGATCTTTTAACTCTTTAGCACATTGAGCATGGCTCATAAGCCATTTATAGATAGACCAAGACAACTCATAAGTAAGGTTAACTCAATTACACCCCAATCCTAAAGTGTGATCTATTAAAATTGTACATGAATTGACATACCACATCAAAAGTGTAACAACCCAAATATATAAAAATATTTTAAAATGAAAAATACGAAAATATGAAGTTTCTGTATGAAGTGGAGCCATAGCTGTCCATGGCGCAAAATAGCGCGCGGCGCGGCGCACCTACCGCGTCATGTTCATGGCGAGACGCATGTGTTTAAAATAGCGCGTGCTATTTGCGCCACATGTGAGCCATGGCACATTGCGCACGGCACAAAATAGCGCGCCAAATTTTTTTAAATTTCAGTATACTTATGAATATTTTTTGTATTTAAAAATATATGTATATTTTAAGATAAATGATTATTCATTGCTCGGTACCGTTAGGTAAATGCTCGGTACCGCTAGGTACATGCATGATACCGCTCGGTACCGCTATGTAAATGCTCGGTACCGCTAGGTACATGCTCGGTACCGCTAGGTACATGCTCGGTACTGCTTGATACAGCTAGGTACACGCTCTGTACCACTCGGTATCTTTCCATACAAACGAGCTTCAAAATTACTCTTACAAATAAATTCTCCGCCAGGAGGCAGCGCACCCTTGGACCCCCGGCAGCCCGCATATTATGTTTCTTGGACAATATTATGTTTCTTTTATCTAAATTTGTTTGCTTTTGACGACGATTCCCAAGAAGAGTAGATTAAATTTTTATTTGATCTATAAAAAAAGATTGTAATATTTGAATTATGAGATATTTGAATGTTACTTAGTCGAACTTATATATGTTATGATTGTCTTTCATTTTTAATAATATTTCATATTCATGCTTATTATTTTATAATTTTTTTATAGTTTACGCCATGTTCAAAATGGCGCACGCCGCGCCGTGCGCTATGCGCCACGGCTCCAAAGGGACCTTTGCGCCATGGCGCGCCATTCGCCATTAACAGGTATGAGTGGAGCATTGTGGTGTTGTGCTAGGTAGCGCTACAACATTATGCATGAGAGCACATCGGCACTAGAAAATGCAGCTGCAGTGCTTATGTCTCTGTTCTACAGTAACTTTGAAATCGACATGCAACACTACTGTGCTGGGTATGAGCGCTGCAATGCTAGGCCACTAATAGTATTTTTTTAATATATTTTAGTATATATACCCCTAAACCGCCTCCCTCACCCTCATTCTCATTTGCCTTGGCCTGGAAGAAACCGAAAGAGAAGGGGGAGAAGAGGAGAGAGAAGAAGTGGCATGTAATGTCTAACACGTCTCCGACACACATACATCCGATACTCCTTTAATACGTGTCAGACACGATACAAAATATGTTTGATTAAAAAATATTAAATACAAATTGAACACGCGTACCTGACACATTTGCCTTAAATATTTTATGAATTATTTTAAATATAATTTTTTTGTATTTAAAATTTTTATTATTTAAAATATATTAAATAATTTTTTTATTTTCTATCCACAACGCCAAAGCAATCGCCCGCACTCAATACCCCATTCATCGAATATTTTTATTTTTTATTTCACTTTGATAGGTTACAACTTTGGTTTCACAACGATGTTCGATATCATCTCAACATCAGCATTTGACGTCGTTAAAACATTGACATTTTAAAATCATCTCCATATCAAAAATTGACATTGCCTTGACATTGATGCTCAACGCTAGCAATTTCTACACCCACAACTTGAAAACTCATCTTTATCCAACATCTTTTTAACATTGAAGACTAACACCCTCTCAATATCGACGATAGACACCCGATATTTACTGCATAACAACGATGCACAACTCTCAATAGCATTGTCACTCCTCTCTCGACGTCTGATACACGGCATCGACGCCCAACTCTCATCATCTTAATATTAATCATTTCAAGAATAAATTCTAGTTAAATGACTTATTATTTCTAAATTATATTTAATAATATACTCATTTAATTTTTATACACTATTTTTAAAATATAAAAATTATAATGCAGTGTCCAACCCGTGTTTGTATCATATATTTTCAATAATTGATGTGTCCCGTGTCCGTGTCGTGTCCTATCCGTATCGTCATGTCTATGTCTATGCATCATAGGTTATAAGTAACTATCTGTTTACTTCTATTTTCAATAATTTTGATTTCTACGAATTTATCTCTCCTAAATCTGCCAAAAATACATTATCTCCTAATTTTGTAAATTTTCACCGTATAACTTTGAATATATTATAGATTTAATCATTATGAATGATTTGATATGATTTTATTGCATTTTTCATCGGTTAAGTATGTATTAAAGAATTATTGGATAAAATAAGTATGAATAAATATTGAAATGGGTTGAAATGATGTACTGTGATTGACATGATAATACTAAAATATGCTGTGGGATGAAATGATTGAAGTGATTAATATGTATGAAAATGATGTACTGAAATGATACTGATGTACTGACTGAGATATCTGATCAATGATAAGAGTATGGATGATTGTACTGATACCTGAACGATAAGAGTATAGTTAGTACTCATGATATTTGATGCATGATAAGAGTATTGCCAGTATTGATATAGTAGATAAGAGTACAATCAAAATTAATATATTAGAGATAGTACTACTAGTATTGATATATATTACAAATATCTTAACATTGATATGATTGACTTCTTGATAAGATAAAGCAAATACTACGATTGAGATGGAATGAATAAGACTGACTGGGAGTTATAAGTATAGAAGCAACATACCCTTAAAATATCCTCATATGAATATCAAATAGAATATTGGTTATTGATTACTGATTATTGATATAACTTATTATTGATTCTGATTACTGCTAATTGTACTGATTAATAATTGATATGACAATTATACTGATACTGTACTAACACTAATTGTTTTTACTGCTCACTATAATACGGATCTTGACCATATTGTTAATTGTATAATTGATAAACTAACAAAATTGATTGTATGATAAAGATAAAAAGATTTATTGAAACAAGTGCCCGATATAGATTTTCTTATTTGATTAAAA